ATGCAGAAGAGACCTGCTGCTAACTGCTCTCACAACTGCGCTGACCGTCCGCGCTCCTTGGATGTAGAGTGGATATGGCAAAGGTTACAGTTATGTTTGCGGTGACATCTAAGTTTGTTTTGCTTCCTGACTTCTGCTGGACCCGAGTTTTCCTGCGTTTATGTTTCTTCACTGGTGTCTCACCCGAAACCTACCTCCTCTTAAACCAGATGGGCGTAAGAAAATGTCTTTTTCACGTGTGTGGTGGCTCCCCCCTAGGAAGCAGAAGACTAGGAATGTGTATCTGAAGCATGTAGAGAAGGATTCACACACAGCAATGAGGTCAAACAATATCTTAGGAATCCAATTGTGGGAATGGAAGGATGTGCCATATATGCAGACAACTTTTAAAAAATGTGCCACTTGAAAGTTGTTTTTTTTTTTAAACAATCAGCCTTGGGTCTCAGAAGTCAAACAAAACTCTCTTTTAGCAAAGGGCTTACTGCTGGCTGCGTAGAGCAGAGGTGGACAAAGACACTGCCCACGATACAATGAAAAAAGAATCAAGAATTAGTTTTGCCAGCAACAGTCTCAGTCATGCATGTCTAGTACCGAGAGCCACGGCAGGACCACGTGGGGACCGCTGCAAGACGAATCCGTCTTGGACTGCTGCTGCCTTCCTTCGTGGTTGGACCCGGGGGGGGGCGAGCCCACGCAGAAGTGCACAGACGAGCGCTGAGGGGTGTGGGTGGGGGCTGTGCCCCTCCACAGGCAGCAGCAGGACGCAGCGCAGGGGCTTCTGCTCCGGCCAGCTCTGGCGTTCGCCCCGGACCCTTGAGCGCCCACGCTCGGGAGCCCCGGAGGCCAGAGGGTCCCACAGGGCCGGCTGGGTCTTGGGCAAGGGGCTGTTCGCCCGTGTGAGTTCTGGACGCTGAGTCCGCTTCACACTGGCCGTCTGAGGGGGAAATCAGTGCAACCCAGCGCAAATGACCACAGAACAGCATTCCTTTTCATACCAAGGACTAAAAAAAGGTGACACTAACAAAAATGATGAGAAACATTGTGCAACAAATTCTTGCAGCTAAGAAAACAGTGCTATTTTCCACCTAAAGTCCCCTCCGTGTTGCCAGCACACGTTGGCAGAGACATTCACTGTTGTCCCACGGCAAAGGAAAAATAGTGCACGCTGAGCTTAAATTCCTTCACCATCTTTGATGGCAATCACTTCACTTGCTGGTCTGTGGTTGAAGAAGAAACTTTAGACAGGGCGACTGCGATCTGTGACTGCCGGAAACAGCAGTGTGTTTGTGATACGGGGCACACCATGCAAGTGACGAGTTCTGCATCTTAAACTTTAAAGTTTCCTTTTTCATTAGTGAATTTATATTCATATATATATATTTGTTGTGATACTATCCACGCAAGATAATACAACACTTTTTTATATTAGCAAACATTACAAGACTTTAATATTCTTGAATGTTTTTCTCTTTTATACTTCTAAAGAGATCAAAATAAATTAAACGTTTTGTACATAATTACATATTGAGGAAGTTAACTTATTTTATCTTTTTAGTTTAGTACAAAGGTATTTGCAAGATAATTGCCGAAATACACCTTATTTATAATTTCTTCTCATTCTATGCTAACTTCAAAGGCCATATATCAGCCTTTGTTTCTTCAGCACATTTCTGACAAAGAAAGCTGCTAAGATCTAATTGGAAGGTGCTACCTGGAAGGTTTTCTCGTACCTCAATAAACTTTCCTAAAAGGATGAGATCTAGCAATGGCTTAAATTAGTAACAGATCCATGTCATTCAGATTGCATGACACATTAAAACAGAGAAAACGATTCTTTGTCACACTACATAAACTGTTTAAAAGAACCCATCTGGAGGGCAGGATATCTTTTAAGTTGCTATTTCGGCTTAACAAAATACCACATTTACGAAGAAAGCACTTATTATCCAATAACCGAGAAAAGCAAAGCAAAGAAGGTTTCCGAAATGGGCTTTCCGACGAACCGAAGGCAGCAATGCAAAGTCCCGCTGGGC